GTTGTTCACGAACAGGCCGTCCAGGTCGATCACCGGCCCGCCGCCCGGGCCCATCGTGATGATCGGCACGTCCAGCAGAACCCGGTCCGTGAAGTGGCGGTCAACAGAGCTCTTGGACTCCTGATCGCCAGAAGACCGCGTGCCGAGCTCCGGCGCGATCAGCGCCAGACGCTTATCAAAACGCTTCCAGTACGCGTACCGCGTCGCCCCCGCGTACCCCGCCCACAGGTTGCCCGAGGCCACCGTCGCCCGGATGAAGTACTTCGTCCCCTCGAAATTCCGGGGAAGCTCCGCGAGCATCTGGTTGTCCTTGTCGCGACGGTAGAGCGTGTACATGCTCTTCCCGTCCGCGGTCGAGACCACCTTCTCATACCCCTCGCTCACGTCGTCCCACTTCGGGAAATCGGGCTTCTCGCCCCGCTCGCCGCCCGGCCCACCCGGAGCCGCAAACGCGGCACCGGCACAGGCCGCGGTCGCCAGCGCGACACGCATCCATCGGTTCTTCATCGTGACTCTCCAGTTCTTCTCACAGCTGTGAAGCAACACACGGGCTCCGTCCGGCCGACCCGAGACACGGGTGTTCGCGAATAACGCCGCCGAGGCCCTGAGCCCTGTTATACCCCCTCACGCCCCCCCAGCTTCGCAAAAAATCGGACCACATTGAGCCATTTCAGGCATCTGTCCGGCCCATACGCCCCGTACCAACCCCGACCGTCAGGGAGGGGCTGCCCTCTGCGCCAGAGGCACCAAGACGGTGAGACGGTGAGACGGTGAAATCGTATTCCCGACTGCCGACCTGCCGAATTGCCGACTGCCCCCCCCATTGCCCATTGCCCATTGCCCAATCCCCCCCTACCAAACCATCACCCGCGTCACCACCAGCGTCACAAACACAAAGATCAGCCCCGCCGCCTGGAAGCACCGGTCGTGCGTCGCCAGCTCCGTCGGATCGTCGTACTTCCCGTTCTCGAGCAGCACGATGCACCGCAGCAGCCCGTACGACGCCGGCAGCATCGTGATCCACAGCAGGTTGAACCCCCGCACGTACGACTCCCCCTCGTCCTGCACGTACAGCGCGTACGTCATCAACGTCGCCACCGCCGTCACCACGACGGACATCTGCAAAATCGTCTCCGTGTACTGCCCCTGCACGCGCCGGTGCAGCGCCGCCCCGGACCCGCCCTCGTGCGTCTCGCTCAGCGTCCGCCGCTCCCCGAGACGCTTGCCGAACGCGAGGAACATCGACAGGAACAGCACCACATTGAGCAGCCACGTCGACGGCACGATCGCCAGCGCCGCGCACCCCGCCATCACGCGCAACACAAACCCGAGCGACAAACTCATCACGTCCGAGATCATCAGGTGCTTGAGCCACTTCGAGTACGCCATCACGTTGATCACGTACATCACCACCACGAGCAGCGTCCACCACCGCGCCGGCGCCGGGATCGTGAAAATCAGCCCGAGCGACCCCGCGATGAGAACCGCCGCGAACACCTTCGCCTGCCCCGGCGTCACCCGCCCGCACGCGATCGGACGGTGACGCTTCCGCGGGTGGAGCCGATCCGCCTCCCGGTCCGCCAGGTCGTTGATCACGTAGCACCCGCTCGACGCCAGCGCAAACCCCGCGGCGGCCGCGAACGCCCACCACGCGATCACCGCCTCGCTCACCCCCGCGTGCAGCGCCTTCGCGTCCGCCCACCCGTAGAACGGCCCGACGAGCACGAACGCGCTCTTGCTCCACTGCACCGGACGCGCCAGCTTGATCAGGCTCCGAACGAGGGACCGCTTGCGACCGTACGACTCCTCGACCGTTTCGGCGGGGACGGCGGAAGCGGGGTTGTCCGGGATCTCGCTCACGGGGTGCTCACCATACGAAGACGCGTCGACCTGCGTTCGTCTCATCGGCACGTGCGGCCCGCCGCCCCCAGCGCACGGGCCCGAAAGCCCCGATTCCGCCCACGCCACGCCCCCCCACGGGCCGATAAGGTGATCCGAGCCCATGACCGACACGCCCGCTCCAACCGCCCGCCTCCACGCCGTCGCCATCCCCGCGATCGTCTTCGCGATCCTCACGCTCCCCCTCCTCATCGCCGGCAAGAGCGGCAAGAGCGAGATGAAGGACGCCGAGCTCTACCACCAGCCCGTCATCGAGTCTTTCGCCGAGCAGCTCCCGACGCCCGACCTCGCGAGCTACGACTCCGCTACCGCCCCCGGCTACCACCTCCTCATGGCGCTGATCCACTCCGCCACCGGCGGCTCATCCCTCGCCATGACCGCCGCCACCTGGCTCTTCGGCCTGGGCCTCGTCATCGCCGCCGCCTTCTTCGCCGCGCGCGTCACCACCCCGTGGCGAGCCGCGCTGCTCACGCTCCCCCTCGCCTGCTCCTCCTACACCGTCGGCGGCGCGACCGCCCTGAGCACGGACAACATCGCCGTGCTCTTCGCCGCCCTCGCCGTCGGCAGCGCCATCTTCCTCCCCTGGAACGCCAAGACCGCCGCCCTCGGGGCCGCCGCCAGCCTCCTCGCCGTCGCCGTCCGACAAATCTTCGTCTGGACCATCGCCCCCGTCGGCTTCATGGGTCTCCTCGCCTCCCCCCTCGCCCGATTCATGCCGAACGCCCTCGTCAAACCCGACGAGCCAAAGACCTGGAAAAACCTCGCCCTCGGTGTCATCGCCGCCGCCGTCCCCGTCGCTCTCCTCGCCGCCTTCGTCCTCCTGTGGGGCGGCCTCGTCCCCGCGTCGGACAACCCCGAGATCACCAAGCACCAGCAAGGCCTCAACCCCGCCACCTTCGCTTACGCCCTCGCCCTCCTCGGCTTCTTCGCCCCCCCCTTCGCCATCCTCGCTGGCGCTCGCCTCGCCGACCTGCGCTCCAGGCTCGTCTGGATCTTCGTCGCCGTCGCCATCGCCCTCGCCCTCGCCGTGCCGACCTCCCACGAGATGAAGGCCCGCGCCTACGGCTGGTTCTGGCAGATCCCCGTGATGAAAGCCCCGGACATCGCGGACCGCTCCACCGTCATCCTCGCCCTCGCCCCCGTCGGCGCCGCGAGCGTCGCCCTCCTCTGGCTCGCCGCCGCCCGCGCGGGCCGCGCCCGCCAAACCCTCGTCCTCGCCCTCACCGCGCTCGGCTGGCTCCTCGCCCAGTCCCTCAACTCGATGGCGTGGCAGAAGTACTTCGAGCAGGTCCTCCTCGTGGCGCTCGCCTGGATCACCGCCCTCGCCCTCAGCGCGCAAGAAAAAACGCCGCCCCGCATCCGCTGGGCGGCGCTCGTTGTGCTGATCGCCTTCCAGGCGCTCTTCGGCGCCGCGAAGTTCTACAAGCAGGCCTTCCTCGACGGCTGAGACGCGCGGCTCACGCCGAGGCGTGCTCCGCCGTCACCGGCGCACGCCCCACGGAGTAGTACGTGAACCCGTGCTCCGCCATCTGCTTCCGCTTGTACAGGTTCCGCCCGTCGAAGATCACCGGCGCCGCCAGCAGGTTCTTCATCCGCTCGTAGTCCGGCGTCTTGAACTCGTCCCAGTCCGTCGAGATCACCAGCGCGTCCGCCCCGCGCAGCGTCTCGTACATCTGCGGCACGATCTCGTACGCGCCGGGGTTCTCCTTCTCGACGTTCTCCGCCGCCACCGGGTCGAACCCGCGGCACGTCGCCCCCTTGCCCTTCGCCCAGCTCATGAGCGACAGCGCCGGCGCCTCGCGGATGTCGTCCGTGTGCGGCTTGAACGCCATGCCCCAGAACGCGATCGTCTTCCCGCTCAGGCCGCCGTCGTTCTCGAAGTGCGCCTCGAGCTTCGCGAAGAACCGCTCGCGCTGGCGCTGATTCACGTCGTGCACCGCCTGGCTCAGCTGCGTCGGCGTGGACGATTCCTTGCCCATCGCGATGCACGCGAGCGTGTCCTTCGGGAAGCACGACCCGCCGTACCCGAGACCCGGGTACAGGAACTGGTTCCCGATGCGCTTGTCCGCGCACATCCCCTCGCGGACACGGGCGATGTCCGCCCCAAACGCCTCGCACAGGTTCGCCATCTCGTTGATGAAGCTGATCTTCGTCGCCAGGAAGTTGTTCGACGCGTACTTCACCATCTCCGCGCTGAGAATATCCATCACGTAGATCGGGTGGCCCTGACGCACGAACGGCTCGTACAGCTCACGCATCAGCTCGCCCGCGCGCTCCTCCTCAACACCCACGACCACGCGGTCCGGGTAGTTGAAGTCCTGCACCGCCGCGCCCTCTTTCAGGAACTCCGGGTTGTCCGCGACGTGGAACGGGATCTCCGGGCCGACGATCTCCCGGATGCGGTCCCGCACCAGGTGCGTCGTCCCCACCGGAACCGTCGACTTCATCACCACGACCTTCGGCTCCTGGTCCGGGCCGAGCTCCTTGATCACCCCCGCGATGTCCTCCGCCGCCTTCAGCACGTAGCTCAGGTTCGTCGTCCCGTCCTCGCCCGTCGGCGTCCCCACGCAGATGAAGACCATCTGCGCGTCGCGGTACGCCTCGTTGAAGTCCGTCGTGAACGTCAGGCGACCCGCCTTCACGTTCTTCGCGATCAGCTCCGTCAGACCCGGCTCGTAGATCGGGCACCCGCCCCGGTTCAGCGTGTCGATCTTCTCCTGCACGACGTCGTAGCAGATCACGTCGTTGCCCGTGTTCGAAAGACACACACCGGTGACGAGTCCGACGTACCCGGTGCCGATCATGGTGAGACGCATAGCGGTGCCCTTTTCCGAGGATCCTGTCGTGTGAAGGGTGGGCGAAGATCGCGGACCGCAAAAACGGCCTCGAAACGCCCTCAGAACGCCCTACTGTATCGGTAATCCGCCCCCGAGGCTCCCCCCCGAGGCCACGCCGATCACCGGATGCAGGGCCTACGCCCCGCACGACCCGCGGGTTCGGCGCCGCATCGCCTTTTTCGCCCGATAGCGGCCCCAGAGTGAAGATTTCGCAAGGCCCGAAACAGCCTCACACCGCCCCGGACGCCACCCCCGGACGCCCCCTCAGTAATTCGGCGTCGGCGCCCGGTACTCCCCGATGTCGATGCTCTTGAACCACTCGATCGTCCTCGCCAGCCCCTCCCGGAGGGGCACCGTCGGCTCCCAACCGCCCAGGTGCTTCTTCGCCAGCGAGATGTCCGGCTGACGCTGCATCGGGTCGTCCGCCGGGAGCGGCTTGTGCACGATCTTCGACCCCGACCCCGTCAGCTCGATCACCAGCTCCGCCAGCTCCATGATCGTGAACTCCCCCGGGTTCCCGATGTTCACCGGACCGACAAACTCGTCCGGCCCGTTCATCATCCGCAGGAACCCCTCCACCAGATCGTCCCGGTAGCAGAACGACCGCGTCTGCGTCCCCTCCCCGAACACCGTGATGTCCTCACCGTTCAGCGCCTGCCGGATGAAGTTCGACACCACCCGCCCGTCGTACGGGTGCATCCGAGGCCCGTACGTGTTGAAAATGCGCACGATCCGAATGTTCACCCCGTTCTGACGCCAGTAATCCATGAACAGCGTCTCGGCCGCACGCTTCCCCTCGTCGTAGCACGCCCGAGGCCCGATCGGGTTCACCGCCCCGCGGTAGCTCTCCGGCTGCGGGTGCACCTCCGGGTCGCCGTACACCTCGCTCGTCGACGCCTGAAAGATCTTCGCGCGGCACCGCTTCGCCAGCCCGAGCAGGTTGATCGAGCCCATCACGCTCGTCTTCATCGTCTTGATCGGGTTGTACTGGTAGTGCCCCGGCGCCGCCGGGCACGCGAGGTTGTAGATCTCGTCCACCTCGAGCCACAGCGGGTGCGTGATGTCGTGCCGGATCAGCTCAAAGTTGTGCTTGTCCAGCAGGTGATCCACGTTCGACTTCTGGCTCGTGAAGAAGTTGTCCACGCAGATGACGTCGTGACCCTCGTCCACGAGACGCTCGCACAGGTGCGAGCCCAGAAAGCCCGCACCACCGGTGACCAGGATCCGTTTGATGGTGGACACGAACGCGGTTCTCCGAAAAAACGCGGCACGAAACCGCCTGTGGGCACGAAAATCGGGTCATCCCCCGCCGGGCTGGTCATGGTATCGACCTGACGCCGCCCCGTTCACCCCAGCGCGACGACCTGCCCCAACGCGATCATCAGCCCCAGACCCACGAAGAACGCCACCGCCGCCTTCGTCGGCCCCGCGTGCTCCCGCGCATCCGGCAGCAGGTCCGTGATCACCAGGTACATCATCGCCCCCGCCGCGAAACCCATCCCCGCCGGCAGCAACGGCTCGAAGAGCCACACCGCCCACGCCGCCGGCACCGCGCCGATCGGCTGCGGGATGCTCGAGAAGATCGCCCACCACACGCACGCCCACGGCCCAACCCCCCGCGCGCGCAGCGCCACCGCGATCGCCGTCCCCTCCGGGATGTTGTGAAGAGCGATCGCGAGCGTGATCACGTCCCCGAACGCGTGCGACCCCTCCCGCAGCGCCGTCCCGTAGCTCACCCCAACCGCCACCCCCTCCGGGAACGAGTGGATCGTCATCGCCACCACGATCAGCACCGCGCTCAGACCGCCCGATTTCCGCAGCCCCGCGATGTCGAAGTGCTCGTGCTTCCCGATCCAGCGAGACACCACCAAAAAGAACACCACACCCAGCGCCATCCCGAGCACCACCTCCCACGCGCCCGCCATGAACCCGCCGCCCTCGTACGTCACCGCCAGCCGCTTCAGCGCCTCGCCCACCAGCAGCACCAGGCTCGCGCTCGTCATCATCCCCGCCGCGATCCCCGTCATGATCCCGTTCCACGTCTCGCTCACGTTTTTCACGAAGAAGAACGGGATCACCCCCAGACCCGTCGCCAGATCCGTGATCACCGCCGCGACGAACGTGATGAGCAGGAGTTCCGAGAGCTGCATACCGCAAGAGTACCCTCCCGTTGTGCACCGCAGCGCCCCGCGGGGCCGATGAAACGCAGGTGAGACCCCGTCTCACGCGCGCCCCCCCCGCGCCGTGCCCGGAACACCCGTCTCAGGTACATTCCAAGGAAGCGATGCCCAAAGAACCCGTCATCAAAGTCCGAGGCGTCAAGAAGATCTTCGGCGAGCAGGTCGTCCTCGACGGCATCAACCTCGACGTCTACGAAGGCGAGACCATGGTCGTCATGGGCGGATCCGGCTCCGGAAAGTCCACCCTCCTGCGCATCATGATCGGATCCATCCGGCCCGAGGAGGGCTCCGTCGAGCTCTTCGGCAAGAACATCGTCGACCTCGATGAGAGCGAGCTCAACGAGGTCCGCAAGAAGTTCGGCATCCTCTTCCAGTCCGGCGCCCTCTTCAATTCCATGACCATCGCCGAGAACGTCGCCCTCCCCCTCCAGGAGCACACCGACCTCGCGCCCGAGATCATCGACATCCAGGTCAAGATCAAGCTCGAGCTCGTCGGCCTCCGCGAGCACGCCGACAAGTACCCCGCCCAGATCTCCGGCGGCATGAAGAAACG